CACCGAGTGGAAATTTGGGGCTGGGGGTTTCCTGGGTGGGCCGGGAGGGGACTTCGCTTTGAAGTCAGGGTGAGGTTTGGGGGCAGGAGCTGCTGGATAAGCCTCTCCCTGCCCCACAGCTGGGAAAGCTGAGCCACGTGGGGAGGAGGAAGAGGAGGAGGAGGAGGAAGGTCAGCGCAGCCCCCAGCCCTTTTGCAAGTCCCTGCCAGCACAGGGGGGTGCAGAGCACAGCCACCTGCCTGCAGCGCCCCGGCCACCTCGCAGGTGATGTGCTGCAGGGCGAGGGGTGGCCAAAAAAACAGCCGAAAAATCCCCACAGAGGCCAAGCGGGGGTCAAAGCAGCAGCAGGGGCAGCTGAGCACAGCGTGGGGAAACACAAAGCCCAAAGCAGCAGCAGGAGGAACAGAGGACCCCAGTTGCCCCTCCTGCCCTGGGGCTCACCCGGAGCTGCAGCCGTGCCGATGCTCGTGGCCGGTTTCCCTATGAAGGGACCAGGAATTTGCTGGGGAATGGGGTGATGGCACAGCGGGGGGGAGGCACAGCATGCTGCCTTCATGGTGAGCAGCACAGAAAGCTGTGGGTGAGCCCCGGTCCCCCCGCTCTGCCACCCTGGTACCCAAAGGGGCTCGGAGCACCCTGCCCTGTGCCGTGGCACGGCACAGCCTTGGAGAGGAGGGGGCGGCCATCAAAAAGGAGAAGCGAGGCCCTGGAAGATGTCCAGCTCTCTTTTAATTAACCTGAACAAGCCAGAGCTTAAGTTTCCGAGCCAAGCCGGAGTCTCCCCATTAGGAGAAGCCTGCAGTACCTTGCAGTAATTTAATAACTCCTCTTCGGAGCTCTCTAATAGCAGCGCTGCGGAACGGCTCCAAACCCTCTGGTCTCCCTGCCTTCCCGCAATCAGGTTACCTTTATTGCTTCATGCTAATATTAACAGAGATACCAGCGCTAATGCCTCACCTCAAGCTCAGCTGGCGGGGAAGGGTCTGGCACGGCCAAGGAGGAAACCAAGCGGCACATGGTGTGGACAGGCTGGCTCCTCGGCACCCCCAAACACAAGCTGTAATCCTGCAGGGCTGGAAAATGCCCAAACTCCCAGCTGGGGGCATTGCCCCTGCTGCTTATAAGGGTCCCCAGCCCCTCATTGCCTGCAGGTGGCTGCTGTGGGGCTCTGGTCTCTGCCCCTGAATCACCCAGCTGGGGCTGATGTCCCACAGGGGCTGCCCCAGCCCTGCCTGGTTTGCCCTGATTTGGGGAGGGGGCTGTGTTTTGGGTGCCTCTGGCACCGCCAGCCTGCTGGCCTGGGTGGCAAGGGGCAAAGCTGTCCCCGATGCCACAAGCACAAGGCTGCCCTGGGGACAGCAAGTTGGAGGGGGTCATGCAGAGCCCCTGATGCTGCCAGTGTGGGGTCCTGCCAGAGCAGCAACGTTGTGCTTTATGGGATGGGAAACTGCTGCCCATGGGATGCAGACAGCCTGTTATGGTGCATAGGGGCAGGATGGGCTGCTCGGGGGCACGGCTGGCACAGGGCATGCCCCAAAACCCACTGGTGGCTGCCTGTCCCCATGTGGTGATCCCTCGGGCATCTCCCCGCCTCGCTCCCCAAACCCAGCACGGAGCTGAGTGTTGGTGTGAGCTCTCAGCCGCTGCTAATACCTTCTTTGCTATTTTTAGTCCATCAGCACCGTGCCGTTGGTTTCAGCATTATTTTTTTTTTTCATTTTCCCCAGTAAATTCCAAATCTCTTCCCTCTTTCGCCTTCTATTCCGGGATCCTGCCTGCACCGTTCCTCTTTGATCTGCAGTGATGCCAAGAGTGTTTTGAAACTAAGTATAGCGCATCCCTCGAATTTCTTGCACCTAGCAGAGCAGTAATATCCTCAAAGAGCTCTGGCTGAACACCTGGCCCTCCTCGGCCCCGTCCTCAGCCTGGTCCTGGGCATCCTCCCCGCCCCAGCGCTCAGCGGGCACGTGGCCCAGGCTGTGCCTTGCTGCCAGGGTCTGGAAGTTGCTGTCAGTCTTATTTTACAGATCAGAGGCTGAAAAGGGCAGCTAGGAGCAAAGAGGGCTAATTTTGCCTTTTTTTTTTTTTTTTCCCCAAAGTCGCCTGAATGCAGCCTCTAATTCTGCAGCTGCGAAACGATTGCGGATAAAAATAATGGTATTTAGGACCTCAAAATCACCCATTTCCCAACGCAGCCAGGTAACCAGACGGCTAAGTTCTGTCGTTTGCGACTCGCAGCGGATTGCAAGGGCAAAGATCTGAAGGCTGCTCTTAAATTCGTCCCCAAAATGTCTAGCGCTCAGTACACAAATACTGTAACAAATTAATGTCAGATGCTACCCTCGGTATAATTAGACGGGATTTAGAGTGGCAGAGCCAGCAAATTGCTACAATTTACATGAAGCCTCTACCCAGAATCCTGCACCAACCACTGGTTCGTCGCCACTAAAAATTAATTAATGGCTTGGAGGCTACCCAGGGCTCAGTCTGTTGGGCCACGATGATCCCGGGTGAGATCGGGGGAACTTTGCACTGCTCAGCCCCAGGTTTGGTTCCCGAGGGTGCACGTGGCCACGTGGAGCCCGGGCTGTGCCAGCTCCTCGGGGTGCCCGCGGGGCCACAGGTCGCAGCGTGCTGGTTAACAAATCCTTTTCTTCCTTTCCCAAACACGCAGTATGAATTAAAAATAAAAATAAATAAAAAAAAATCCCTCGCTCCCCAGTTGTCATTAAAGGATAAAACTGATCTGGGCTATCTACGCCAAGCTCTCGCAGCGCCGGGTGCGCGAGCGGTGTGGGTCTGCTGCAAAATGGAACCAGCTCGTAGCCCCACATTTCAGGAAATGTCTCATCCAACTAACCTCATATTTTTCCCACAAACTCCCCTCGAGCTGTAAAGCACATCTGGATAATTTTAGGCAGAAAGGGATTTTCCCAGAAAGTTGGAGGGGGAGGGCAGGGGAGGAGAGGGGCTGCCTATATTTGGAAACCTCTTTTAAGCGCGGAGACCCCGTCGTGGCTCAGCCTCGCGGGGAGATGCTGAGCGCTGCGGCCCGGCGTCGAGGATGGATGGAGACTCGTGCCTGGGAGCAGTTCTTGCCACAGGTGGGTTTTGCTCCCCACACCTGTTTTTCTGGGAAAAAAAATAAATAAAAATGTGGGGGAAGGAACCCCATGAAACCTGGAGATTTGGTCCGGCGGCACTGGGGCAGCGCGGCACACGGCATTGCTCGAAAGCAACACAATGGTGAAAAAAAAAAAACAACCAACAATAAAAAAACCCTCAAAACGTTTCTAAAAGACAAAAAGCCCTGAAGGCCCCGGGGCCAGCCAAGCAGAGCTTGGCGGAGCCAGCATTAAGGGTAAGAGGAGGCAGCTCATCAAGGCCTTATTAGCACAGGAACTGCAGAGCGCAAATTAATGCGATAGACTCCGGCTCGTCCCAGCCATACGGGAGAGCGCCGCGTGCACAGCTACACCGAGCGGTTTAATCAACTCGGAAGGCAATTTGTTCTCTCCCTGTTTATAACCTTGACAAGCAAGCGGGTTATTTTTAAGCACACCAGCAAGTGCTCCCTCCTCCAAAGGCAATTCCCAGCCCCTCGCTGGCCGCACACAAACCACCGCCGAGCCGGTAAGCGGCCACTGCCCCAAATCCCCCTCCGACTGCCTGTCCTGCTGCCCCTTAGCTCCAGCCACTTCTGCAAACATCCTGGGGCCAAGGGCAGGCAGCGAGGTCGGATCCTGTCCTGGAGGAATCAGCAGGGAAATCCCAGGGGCTGTAGGGTGGTGGGAGCAGGGAGGAGGCACGGGGTGGAGGCTGCTGGAGCTGCTCAAACGCATCCAGCACAGCTTGTGCAGCCCTGGGTCAGGTCTCACCACCGTGGGCACGGCCCAGTGCCACAGGGCAACGTGACATGCTGATGCTATTGCCCTGGGTGCGTGCTCTCACCCCGTTTGCCTTGCTTTTTCTTACAGGGAAGGTCAGAGCAGCTGAGCCAGGCTGAAAAATCTGCAAGCGTACAGCGCGCTAAGTGAGGAAGGCACGATGCTTCCCCTGAGGGCGGGCGAGTAATTGAGGGGAACCGTGTTTTAGTGACATTGCTCTCTCTGCCTAATCCCTTCCCCCCAGGAGGGCTGTCCCCGTGCCTGGAGCTGGCTGGGAAGGGGGGCTGGAGGAGATGGCAGGAAGGATGCACAGCCCCTCTCCGCAGCACCAGCTCCCTGCCACCCAGCCCAGTTTTTTGGCATTTGTGTGATCTCCCCATGGAGGAAACCAGATGATGGGAAAGCCTGGACCCCGTTTTTTTTGTTGGTTCACCATAGCAGGAGCTCAAGGTCACCCGGGCACCGCTGTTGGAGCGTGGACCCAGGTTTGGACCAACGCAGCATCCCTCCTCACTGCATCCCTCCCTGCCCTGTGCTCGCCCTGCACTTCTCTGCTGCCCCCCCCCTTGGCACCACGGTGCTCGTCCTTCTTTCTAGAGGCAAACTGGATGGCTACAGTCAGAAAGCAGCGACCTGGCAAGCCGAGAGCAGGCACAGCTGCCTCTGAAGTGCTCCGTGTCCTAGGGCGCCGGGTGGTGTTTGCTTTGGCCAGCCGCTGCCCTGCGCTGCGCCAGCAGCTGCTTGGCTTTGCTGCCGATAAGGCGATTAGCAGCAAATTGGTTAATGCCTTCCCCGAGAGCAGCACGCACGGCCACCCCGTGCTCGGGTCACCAGGGGGGCTGGAGAGGGCCTGGGGGGGACACGGAGCCGTGGGCACCAAGCGGGGCTTTGGGGTGACAAAGCCGAGCAGGGAGCGGGCACCCTCCTTGTTTTTATTTGTATTTTTAAAGAAAACAAACCAAACGAACGGGAAAATGGCTTGGGGTTTGGGTCTGCCTGCTGGTTTTCAAGGCAGGGGATTCCCCGTTCTTCTGCCCCAGCGATGCTAAGGTTCAGCGCCTGTGCTTCCAGCTGATTTAAAGCAACGCTCGAGTTTATAGAGAATTAGTGAGATGAAGGAACATTATTTTTCTTTATTAGGTTAAAGGGTAAGTAAATACAATCAATCTAGTCATGTATCACACGATGTCAGCAGCTTCCCACCTCAGCCAGAAAATTACTGGCTCCTAAGTGGATTGTGGAATTACATTCATAACTGCAAAACCCACATCTACACGTACGCGTTTCAGGGAAGAAGCGAAGGGTCACCGCATCACATCATCATCACAAACACGTTACCTCTGGGCCGACTCAATCAGCAGCCAAAGCCGGGCCGTGGGGGAACCGGAGGGAGATGCCACCCATGCAGATGTGGCACCAGAGCCCAGCCTGGCCCCGCAGAGCAGCCCTGAGGCTGGCGATCCTCCTGCTGCAGGAGGGCACGGGGCACAGCCACCTCTGATGGGAGCTGTGGGATGGCCCAGGAGGGTCTGGGTTTGCAGTCTGAACTTCCAAGGGAAGGCACCTCCTTGTCCCCCGTCCCTCAGCTGCCCACATCCTGCTCCCCTCTCCATCCCTGCTCAGCCCCAGTGGCCCATGGCCAGTTGGGAGCGATGGGAGCAGGGCTAGAGTGCTGGATTCCCTGCCTGACAGGATGAGAGCTTTCCTCTTGGTGTTCAGCGGCCACAGGAGAGGGGCAGTTTGTACGGTGCCAGGCTGTTGGCATGGCTAAATGTAGACCTGTGGTCCCCTCACACAGGCAGGAGCAAGGACAGGACTGGATCACTCCCCTTCAGCACCACCAGGCTGGGGCTCTGCAGCTCCATGGCTCCAACTTTGTCTCCTCGTCACATCAGAGAGACAAACCCCAAGGCAAAATCCTTACGTGACGCTCATCAAGGTCCCTCGGGCTGCAGGAGCACGAGGAGGGAGGTGACCTGGGCAAGCTGCGCTGTCCTCGTGCACAAGGCTATTCCCTCCCCAAAGCACAGCAGCATCCAAAATCCACCGGTGAGCAGGGCAGGTGGTGATGCTGCCCTGAGCCACGGCAGCTGGTGGCCAGGAGAGGAACGGGGGTGACGTGTGCCCAGCCTCAGCAGGTGGGGACGATGCACGCAGCTCCTGCACCATCACACCTCCATCGTGCGCTGCTCCCAGGGCAGTTCTCCACCCATCTGCTGCGAAGAAACAGGAAGAAAGGGTGAGGGATGGTGAGATTAAGCAGGACCCACTGCTGGATGCTGGTCGTGTTCTCTGTGTTTGCTCACACTTGCTGCTAGCAGCTCGAGCGCACCAACACAAGGCGATGGTGCCCAGCCCAACGTGCCAGGGGCACACACAGAGGGGGCCACAGGCAGCACAGCCCCCGGCTGGAAGCAGGACCTCCTCCTCCTGAACTTTCGGTCAACCCGCCACACCCCAAATACCCTTAAATAAACCCCCAAAAACGGCGCCTGGTTTGGCATCGGGGCACAGGCACACGGCGAGCTCGTGGCACCAGAGGCTGCCGGCGCCCGTGCTGCCTCCGTGCAGCTGGAGCCCGCGCCGATTGATCTCCCTCCTGAATTCTGAATGAACCAACTTTCTCCCAGAATAAATAACAATCGCATGAAAGTTATTTTAGGGCTGGTCTCAGTCGTCGGAGTTTCCGCGCCTGCCGAGGCCCATCACATTGTTTTCTGCTGCTTTCCTTGGCACGGCCCCAACCCAGGGTTCAGAAGTTATTACTATAAAAGTCAAATTGCTTTGAGAGGGGAGGCAGGGTCGGGAGAGAGCGGGAATGGGACTGCTGGAGGGGCTCCAGCCTGGGATGGCTGAGAGCTGTGCAGGGTCGGAGCCGTCCCCGCCGCTCTCGGGAGCCCCGTGCCTGGCCCTGGGCCAGCGGCAACGCACGGCTCCGGGTGTAGGGACACACAGCACGGCCGCTGCTCGGGGTCCTGGGGGGCCCCAGGCTTGTAGCCCAGCTCCTGGCCCCTTGAGAGCCCCTTCCCCTCCTGCCCTCACTCCCAAGCCCCTCCAACCTGTCCCTTGGTGTAGCACTGGTTAGTTCTCCACCGACAGCACAAATCTCTTTCCTGCCTTGGCACCGAGCGCTGCCTCAAGCCCCGAGGCACGCACGTTTTATTTCCCTCCCGAAACATCCTGTTCCAGCGTTTGCCACTGAGGCTCTGGGTAAATCCTGGCCATCCCAAAAACAAGCGTCCCGCCCCTCCGAGCAGCGTGCTTGGCTGCAGGAAACCTCGTGGCGAGGCACCAGCCCTGTCCCACAGCGAGCGGCTTCTCCCTCCGTGCTGCAGGACCTCGGGGGTGACCATGGCACGGGGCATCCCCATGGCTTTGGGGGGCTGCTGCTCTCCCACTTCACTATCTCTGCTCACTTTCAACCTCGACTTTATGCTTTTTTTTTCTTTTTTTTCCTTTCTCAAAATAATTTCCAGCAAACAACCACGCTGATGCATCCGTGCGACCTCACTGGGACGCAGCCTGGTCTCTCCTTCCCTCCAGACCACGTTATTTTTATTATTCCCATTACTTCAGGCTGACATCACAGCAATGACCAGGAGGCCTCCACTGTGCCAGCCCCTCCATCCCTCACCGCAAGCTGCCCGCCCCGGGCTCCCAGCCCGAAATCAGCACCGTGAAGCCCCTCTCACAGTCTGGAGACGAGACGCAGCGCCGCTTTGATACCTGCAGCTGATGCGCCTGGAGCAAAATCATCAAACACGGGTACTCACTCAGCAAGAGGAAGCAGAGGCCGGCAGCGTTGGGGACAGCGAGCAGCAAGAGTCACCCAGGAGAGCTCCGTGACAGCGGGATGAGACCTGCGGGGAGGACACCGTGGTGGCAGGGATGGTCCCCTGGTGAAGGGATGCTCCGTGGGCACCGCAGGGACGCGATTTGGATACCGTAGGGATGCCCCATGGGTATCACAGGGATGCCCCGTGGGCACCACAAAGCCCTTGCAGGCTCCATCGCACCAGGGGGCGGCCGCAGAGGGGGTAGAAGGAAGAAACAAGAGTCTCAGGACTCAGATTTTGAGCAGAGCCCGTGGGGTGCAGGCTTCCAGGGCCATTTTCACCCAGCGAAAGTTGCAATTAATTTGCGAAGGAAGTGGCTCAGCATTAGGAAACCCCGCGGGCAGACCCCGCACCCGGGGGCGCACGGTGCATTATTTTCTCATTTAAAAATGATCGCAGGCGGGCAGGGGAGGGGAGGGAAGGGCTGGGGCTGCTCCCCCCGGGCTGGCACTAACAGGGAGCCGGGGGGGCCAGGATGGGGGGAGGTGGCTCTGGAGGGGCAGGCGCGTTTGGAGGGAGAGGGAGCAGAAATTAACCTTGGAAAGCGTTCAAATTAGGCTGTGTAATAAGAGAACCACTTCTCTGGGTAAATTTGTTAGGATTAGGGCTCACTGAGCTGTTGAGGAGAATTCGGCGTGGCTCGGAGCCAGCACAAAATGAAGCTCCTGGCTTGGTCGGCTGCGGGAAAGTCCAGGCTAATGGGCTTTGGTTCAAACTTTGATAGGAAAAAAATCCAGGAACAAAGGCACTAATTCTTCCAAAAGCCCCAAAATCTCAGTTTATACATTTCTGTTTATGTTCATTCATAATAGATATACACAGCTGTTCTTATCATTCATATTCAAATTCCATATGCATCTTTAGCATTTATTACTCCTGCCTTAAAATGATAAAAAATAAAAAAAAGGAAGGAAAAAAAAAAAGAGAAGAGGAGCCCCGTGGAAGATAAAACCCAACCTGCCTCTCAGCATCTCTGGGTCCGAGCTGTGACTCCCTGTCCTTGCACCAGGATTGGGGGCCGGAGAGGATCCCACTGCCAGCCCGGCTGCTCCCATGGTTTTGGGATGTGTTTGAGGATTTTTGTTGCCACTCGTAGCTTTTGCTGGCTCGTGGGTGCTGGTGTGTCTGAGCACAGCACCCAGAACACCTGCGAGGACACCAAGTTTCTGTAACTGTCCCGATTGTCCAGCAGCTGTAAGCTAAAAAAAATATTAAAATATTTGTGGTTTCACTTCATTTGGTCTTTTTGTTTTAAAAGGTTTTCTGTCCAGCGGTCTGGAGGCTCTCTTCACTTCCTTTATTTATCCCTGGACTCCAGGCTAAAGAACAAAAGAAGACATTTAAATCTGGATATCTCACAGGATATTTGCATCTTTAAACACTTACTTCTCGATCCCCAAAGGTTGCTCTAACAGACAAACCGAGTGCTGTTGCTAAAGCTCATTAGCACGAGCGAGCAGCGGGGACGCAGACACTGCAGACACTCCAAGCGTTGTCATTAGGTTTCAGAGTTAATCCTGCTGAGAAGTTCCCGTCTAACTGGAGCTGTTGCTCTGCGCTGTAAACCCGAGGAAAGGGCACTGCTGGCTTCTCCTCCCATCTCTCCCACCTGCATCTGGTTGAAATATCCTTTTTTTCGGGGTCTCCTCTCTTCCCCACGGCTGCGGAGCGCAGCGGAGGAGCCCGCAGGGAGGAGGACAGGGTGGTGCCAGCACCTGCCCTGAGCCACCCCATCGCCCAGAGCACAGATTTAGTGTCTGGATGGGGGCACTGCCCCACACCTGTGTGTCCCCTCCTTGCACAGCCCCACTAGATGTCTGAGCCACGATGGGAGGCACCGTCCCAGGGCCAAGGGACCCCCTCTGGGCTGCGCAGGGGGGTGGAACCCGGGATCACCCGGCCGCCTTTCATTTAACAAACAAACACACCAGGACCTGGAAGCAATAAATCCAGAGCCTGGACTACAAAACCAAACACGGAGGCAGCTCCCCCTTCAAACCTCTCCCTCCCTGCTGCGAGGGAGAGGAAGATGATGGCCACACAGCCAGCCGGGGGACACGGACACCATCCCCTCCTGCAACCCCTCCTGGCTGTGGGAATCCCAGTGAGCAGCTGGGAGGCTTTGACGTGGCACAATCGGGGTGCTCTGAACACAAACGTGGCCTCAGACAGCTCGCAGCACTGATTATTTTGGGTCACCATAGCAGGGATGTGCAGGGCATCCTCATGAGCCCCAGGGTGAGTGGGGCTCCCTCGCTCCTCCCCACCCCAAACCTGTGCTGGAGGAGGACAGCAGCGAGGCCATACAACCCATGATGGGAAATACAAGGTGTTAGCGGGGATCCCTGGTGTGAGTCCCGATCCCCGAGGCTTCTCTTTGGCCCCTGTCCCCCTCCCTGCCCTCTCCAGCCCCTCTCACCTGGCTGCAGCCCGTGCGGGGTCTCCGCTCGCAGCCGGGGAAGCCGCAGCCGCTTCTGCTGGCAGCCTGGGATCCGCCTGCTCCTTCCAGCAGCCGGGCAAGCCGCTGTTTGTAAAACAAAGGTGGAGACATCAAATGGAAAGGGTGAGTCAGAGAAAAAGTTCAAAAAAAAAAAAAAGAAAAAAAGGGGGAGCGCAGGGAGCGGGCTCGCAGCCGCCGGCAGGCAGGGAGCTGCCGCGCTCCCACCTGCCCGCAGCACGGCCCCGCTTCAACGCGGGGAGATCCAGCAGGCAGAGAGGAGCAGGGCTTAGCGGGAGGGGAGATGGCTGCCGATAAGCCAACGTGTGAACTCCCGGCTTTAAATTAACTAATGGCTTCAGATGATGCCGATAGTCTGCAGGGGATGGGGAGGAGTGATTTATGGGGGAAGATTAAGCGGACTAATTAGGGCAGCCTCACCGCTTCGGAGCTTCCCAGCCCGGCCGGGGCTGTGTGAGGGAGGACGTCCCGTGCCCATGCAGCCGACGCAGGAGGGCGGCCGGTCCCCAGGCAGCTCCTGACCCCAAAACCACCCTCATCTCCACAAGGTTTTGGGCACGTGCTCACCATCAGGATGCTGCCACGTGCTTTACCCAGGAGGCACAGGATGGGGGACCTCGACTCCCCCAAAACAGGATGGTTTCTGCAGGGGGTACAAGCTCAGCAGTATTGTACCACGGCTCTGCCAGCTCCCAGCTGTGTGCACCAGCATAACCAGTGGCTCCCAGTGGCCGGGCAGGCACTGAGCTCCAGCAGCGTGGCACTGCCGCACCGCTCGCACGTGTGACGAGCTGCTGCAGTCTCAGGCAGGAGAGCTTTTCATCGCCTTATGGGAAAGCGCCTGCAGTTCCCTTTTTCCAGGAGTCCTGGATATAATAAAAAGGCCTCCTCGGGCTTCAAAGCGGGAGGATTTTCACTGCTTCCTGGGCCGAGAACAAAGCAGCATTGAGCACGGCCAGCAGCCCTTGTCTCTGCCCCTTGATGTGCATCAGCTACCCCGACCCCGGGGCTCGGCGACAGCACGGAGAGCTGGGGCTGCAGGGCACTGCGAGGTGGCACGGATGGAGGTGGGTTCACGCGGAGCTGGAGCACTTTGGGATGGATTTGTCTCCCCCAAATCGCCCAGGTTTGACCAGAATTGTCCAGGACAAGCGGCTCCGTGGGTTGGTCCCTGCCCGGAGCTGCCGGTGTCACCGCCACAGCCGCCGGCGCGGTACCTGCCAGACAAAGGGCTGCCGATGCAGTGAGTAATGCGATTTTCAGCAGGGATTGTGTGCATGACTGTGTAAATAACACAGTTAGAGGTACCATGAAACCAGCTGTTTTCATGTTAAAATGGAAATTTAATAGAGTAACAAGCGGGGGTTGCTGGGGATGCAGCACGTGCTGCCTGCAGGAGCACACACGAGCCCACAGCTCAGCACCGGGGCACGAGATCCCGGCCCCATCACACCTCAGGGTGGGGGGGGGGCTTCCCCCTGCTCCAGGCGCCCACGTGGAGCCAGAGCCCTGGGTTTATGCTGCTCCCCCCAGCACTGTGATACGCCGGGGATGGACAGGCAGCCGGGGACATTTCCCAGACCCCTTCTGCAGAACAGAAGTCCCTTGTCACTGCTATCAGCACGGGGCTCCTGCAGGGTGGGGGACAGGATGCTCTGAGCCTGTGCCCAGCCTCCCCCTGGAGCTGCTGGGCTCTCCCCGCCTCTGAGCACTGCAGGAAGAAAAGGGGGCCTGCCTGCAGACCCCCCTGGCCTCCAGGTGAGGACCCCTCCTGCCGGGCTGCTCCCCCCATCTTGCTCTGACATGAACACAAAGCAAGTTGTGGGGCTGAGCCCCAAGAGCCCCCGCTGCGTCCAGCCGCTCTCCATCCCGTGCCACCAGCCCACGCTGCCATCCCGCACCAGTTTCCCCGGTAACAGGAGGCCTTCACATTTGCACGGAGCCGGAGGCAGGAAAGTTCATATAGAAAGGAAAAAGAAAAAAATAAAGGAGAAGAAAAAAATAAATCAGGAGGAAACAATCTGCATAGCTCGCTGCAAAACCCACCTGGGGGAGCTTCCTCTCCCAGCACCCTTCCAGGTGGCACCGGTGTGGCTCCGTGCAGGGAAAGGTGGAGCTGGGGACAGATTTATCGAGGGGCCCCGGTGGCACCGTCCTGTTCCTGGCTGCTCCCCTCCGCAGCACGGGCTCAGCATTACCAGCACCTGCTCCGCCGAAGGCCGCCCGGGACCTGCTCGAGCAATGCCAAACGTCACTCGCAAGCAATTACTCACTGCACAATATTTTCGTTTCCCCAAACCATTAATGAATTATTTAGGCATCTCCAGCGGTCGCAGCGAGGCTGATGAAGCACCGCTCCCCCTGGGCTGGCAGCGGGGGCAGCCTCGGTGCTTGCTGGGGAGTGGGAAGCAGATTTTGGGAGAGCATCCCAGCGCTCTGCACCCGAGCATGGCCGTGGCACCACAGGGCTCGCCACTACGCTGCTGGGAAAAATAAGGCTGCCTCTCCCTGCGTGGGCTGCCCCGGACAGAAGTGGGAGCTTTTTTTTTTTTTTTCCCAGAGCTGGAGGAGCGGCGTTCACCTGCTCCATCCCCACTGCCTCCCCCGGTGCTTCCCTCCCCCCGCAGCCCCAGCTCGACGTGCTCCAGGCACCTGGCTGATGCCAAAACCGCGGAGACAGTCAGCGCTGATTTGTAGCGAGGGAAGGTAATCCGCGGCTGGAACAAAACAGCAGGGCAAGGCACGGGCGAGCCTTGGCTATCTGCTAACGAACACAGGGCTGGGGTGTCTGGGGCCGTGCTTGGTTTTGGAGAATGCCTCTGCTGTGGCGAGCAGGGCGCAGCGGCCCCGGTGCACGGGAGCTCTGCTCGCTGCTGATGTTGGCTGTGGAGGCTGGCTGGGGGAGCGCCAACCCCAAACAAAGCAACCCGCCAGCAGGCAGCAGGGCTCGAGGTGCCTTATCGACTCCGACCGGCTTCCCGGCAGCCCAAACACCTGCGCCGAGGCCCTGCAGCATCCCGTGCTGTAGCTAACGTGCGCGCCGATGCAGCTCTCCCTGAGCTCTGGGCACAAAGCTGCTCCCGAGTCCGGGCGCTGGGCACGCAGCGAGTCCTCCTTCCTACTGCAAGAAGGGATTTTAAAACCTACAGATAAGCACATGGGGATGAAAGCGCTAAGAGAACTTCAGAGGAGCACTGGAGTCCCTTTCTAAAATTACCCTTCCCTGCTGGAAAAGCACACAACGAGCAAGAAATAGTCCCTCTGCAGAGGTGGACACAACGCCCCGTGTTTAGAGCATATGGGAACGGTGACGGCAGAGCTGGTGACCCGGCGTCACCCCGTTTGTGCCAGGAAGCTGTCTGAGAGCTAAAGATGACTGCGTTTTAAAGCCCAAATCCCCGTTAAGGGCCGGGAAGCCCCGTTCCAATCTCTCCCTTTCCTGTTGGCTTTGCAGGTTGCTGGCGCAGAGGGGAAAATCCTGGCCCCACAGAATGACAGAGGAGGCCCCGGGGCTTTCAGCTCATCCGTAAAGCCTCCCCTCCCTCCTCCTCCCTCCGCTCTCACGCCGAGTTTACAACCTCCGCCTCAAATGCGGCTCCAGGCTCATCCTGGCCAGGCTCCAGGCTGCACGGGGCAGGGGCAGCCTCGACGGCCACCGCAGCCCCCCTGGGGCCCCCACACCGCTCACCCCAGGTCTCGCAGCCTCCGTGCCTTCGCCCCAGCCTGGCTTCCACGTGGCTCCAATTACCTCTGCGGAGGGAGATGCGGCAGCACTGCCCTCCTGCCGCCTCCGACAGCAACCCGCCAGGGCAAATCGCCCCTCGCAGCACCCTGCTGATCCCCGAGGATCTGCTCCAAGCCACCAGCTGCTTCCAAATCCCAAACATCCGACCCCTCCTGCTCCTGGCCTCGGGGCTCTCCCCAGCCTGCCCACCCTGCAGCATCCCCAGCACTCCTGGTCCTGCCTCCAGCTGTCCCCATACCCACAAGGATCCAGAGCTGGTCTGAGACAAAGATTCGCCCCTCTGGAGGTTTTTCTGGTGTTTCCTGTCCCCGTGCAGCCTCCCTGGCCACCCCTTCAGCAGCAGGGGGCTGAGCCCCATGCCCAACCACCCCAGGAAAACGCTCAGCCCTTTGCGCCTGCCGCCGAATCCAGAGGAGCACCTCGCCTGGGCTTGATTGTTTGAGCAATTAGGCCTTTTCCGCAGCGTATGGCTGTGCCCTCGCTGGTTTTTCTGATGTTACAGTGATGAAAGCCGAGATGAGACCCAGAGGGGAGGACCCCCCTGCAAGAAGCAGGGGGAGCGCAGCCATCGCCACATCTCCGCCTCCCCCCGTCCCCAGCTCCGCGCATGCAGCGGGGGCCTCCTGGCCACGGCGCCTCCAACCAGAGGAACGCCTTTCCGTGTGTGTCAGGGGCTGCTCTCCTCATGTTTATTTCCCTTTGCAGCGTGGGCAATTTCCCCTTCCCACACAGGCAGCGGCGGCCCCGTGGCCGTACCGGAGGGGCTGGGGCCGTCCCTTTCCCTGCGTGCCGGCGGGGATGGGCTGGGATGGGTGAGAGCGGCCGTACCTCGGCATGCAGCGCACCGCCTCGCCTGCAGGAAACATATGTCACCAGTTAAACAGATCGTGAAAGCTTCAATCACTTCCTTATGGCGCACCAACAGCCGGCATCCCCAGCCCCACGCTCTCCCCTCTCCCATCGCCGGGTCCGGTGCTCGCCCCGGTGTGGGGATACCAGGGGTCCCTGCCCCAAGAAATGGGGTGGCCCCACGCAGCCTGGAGAGGAGCTGGAGGTGAATATCCAGGAGGAAAAGCAGGTTTTTGGCCGTGCTTTGTGGCCTCCCCATGAGGAAGCTGGGGGCTGTGGTTGGGTCCCCCCTCCCCGCCCCGTGCACACCACCCCAGGGGCTGGCGCTGGCGGCCGGGCCGGCTGCCCAGGGGGGTGGGTGTCGAGGAGACGATGCCTCATCACCACGGCTCTGCTCTCCCCGTGGGCTGGAGGTTGCTTTTTTTGGAAGGGAGGCAAGCAGGAGAGCTCACGTGGGCTGCAGCGATGAGACCGGTGGCGGCCGCCGACGCCGCTGTGATTGCGGAGCGTGTGCCAAAGAGCTCGCCTGGCCTCCACCACCATCCTGCCTGGCCTGGGGGCTCCCCCGGCCTCCCCACAGCACCTCTCCACCAGGACAGAGGGAGTTACTTGACAATAACACCTTCCTTATGCGCCTGGAACAGCCAGCCAAAATCCCAGGCCTTTCCTGGTCTTGTGTTTCAGCGAACTCCCGGCACCCTGACGAAAGGGCGGGACGAGAAGTCCGTGTTATTTCTGCAAATGCAAATACCTGCAGAGAGCCCCGCCTGCTGCAGGCACCGCGGAGGATGTGGGCAGGCTGGTGCCGTGTCTGCGTGTCTCTCACCCATCCCGAGCTCTGCGCATCCAGCTGTCACCACCCCGAGCCCAGGACTGCTCCTCCACCTCGGGTTTCGAAGCTGCTCTGCTCCTGCCCCAAGCAGCAGGAGGAGTCTCGCAGCCCTCTCCCACCCCTGCTCATCCAGCCTGCACCCTCCCATGTCACAGGGCAGGATGAGGACCCAGTGGAGTGGTCTTATGGGGTTGTCCCATCCCTGCCCCAGCACCACGTGGGATGAGTGCAGCCCCTGGGGACACAGCTGGGACACCCACGGGGCACCCCACACAGATGTCACCAAGGGCAGGCTCCCAGTGCCGTGCCTCCAAAAACCTTTTGGGGTTGGGACCATCCCTCCCTCCTCACCCACCCACCCACCGCTCCCATCCCCCCAAATTTACCAACGCTTAAAAATATTTTACACCTCCCCGTAAAATCACACACGTTTAAAACCAGTTAGGGCCTGAAATATGCTTTAAGATGTTGTCCAATTTGTAAGCATCATAAAAACCTGAAATAAGTTATCTGGGAAATAACCACAAGGAAATTACAGACCCGACATGCAGCTGAGGAGCCGTGACCCTGCTGGAGCACCCAACTTGCCCTGCAACCACCACAACCAGCGGCTGACAGGGCTGCCGGGGCTTTCAGGGATGGGATTTTAGCCATCAAACAAGGCCATAACCCCGGAGAGCTTTACAGCAGTCGTTATGTGCCTCACCTCCCACCGCCAGAGCTTGGTTTTGCGCTGAGGGCACACTTGTCACCCACAGCACGGTCACCCTGCACCCTGCTGCAGCAGGGACCCCACGGGTACCGGGTGGTGCAGGAGCAAGGGATGAAGGGCACGGCACGGACCAGGTTTCCTGCTGCTCCTGGACCTGCCCATGAGCAGGGAAGGAAGCACAGCTTGTCCTGACAGGGGTTTTCCCCAAAACTGCTACCCAGATCTAGCCACGCAGCAGGGGATCCTGCCCGTGCAAGCCTTCCCTGCCTCCTGCAGAGCCACACCAGGGCTCAGTCTCATACCTCTGCGCTTTATTAGCACAGACAAGGATTGGTGAAGGAGGCTGCGGACCCTCAGCAGCACAAAGCACCAGCCAGCAGACAGGGGGGCTGCTACCTCCAGTGCCCCCTCCAATTCCTCTCTGCGATGCGCCGCCTCCAGCACCCCACCATTTTCTCCATCTTGCTTCACTTCCAGCAAATGAGAGCACCCTGCTCCATCTCTGCTTCCCCTGCACGCCCCTTCTTCTTCCTGCCAGCCTCCACGGAGCCTCCATCCGCCTCCAGAAGGCAGAAACAGAGCGGAGCGGGACACCATGGGCTCCCGGCCACCCAGACCCTCAGCTCTCCCCCACCTCCAGGTGGCACGGAGCTGCACAAGAGGCCGCCGTGAAATTAAACCACTCGAGGAAGACGCAGAGCAGCACCCAGGAGCGAGCCAGCCCTGGCACGGCGGGAGAAGCCGGCCGCCTTCCCTGTGTTTGCGCTCCCCATCTGTCTCCAATGCAAGGCAGGAGCCCAGCATGGAAACCCGCTGATTCTTTCCAGAGCTGCAAAACGCAGCTTTTTTCATCCCAAGGACGCAGGCTGCTCTGCACGCTGCCCTCCTGCCTCCCCAAACTCCTACCAGATTTCACGCCCAGCCTTCAAAGGGAAGGAGCCCGAGCAGCATCCCTGGCAGGCGGCACCGTGGGGACCGGCCGAGCCCCTGGGTCCCCAGGGACCGTCGGGCCACCAGCCCCCGGGGCAGGGCGGCACGTTCCCAGCCCACAAAGGTGTTAACGAAGGCCGACTGAGCAGGCTTCGGCTGAGC